TCACCTAAATTCTCACAAGAGGCATGGCAACTATCACTGGTATCGGGGCTTTCTTATGTCACACTAAGAATCTGTATAATCTCAATTATTTGTAGTTAAATAAGAAAAAGTGGATTTCTGGTTTTAACATCCCTAGCAGTGTTACTGGGAAGCCAGGACTTTACCCCTCCTTTTTCACCGAAGGAATACCCTCAGCTGGGAGCAGCCAGATAATATCTTTGAGTGGCTGGAACCAGATGATCTCTRAAGTCCCTTCCAACACAAGTCACTCTGTGATTTTATGATTCTATCCTTTTTGATTGCCTTTTTAAAGTGTGATGTTGGTCTGTGCTAGACAGCAGTGTTTTCACTGAGGTTCAAATAGCTAGTGAGTAAAATCATATATCAGAAGTTCAGAAAAACTTCAATCAATCAAAGAGGTTGGAGATCCAAGGTTGGAGATTCCCTGAGAATCTGGTCAGGCATAAAATAAAATGTGCAAGGTAGAGCTATTTCATCACCTGTCAGTATCCTTAAAGCTGGTACCATATCTTACATGGTATCCTGAGCTGATGCTGATAAAGTTAATTATGATAATACTAATTCCCTGTTACATTATTGAATTCTTTATTCCTAGCATGGTGGTGTGGCACAAACCCCCATGCCCTGAATTGCATCTTTTATTCACAATTTTTGTTGTGAATGCTTTCAATGTCTCCCTTTTTGGAGAGGACCAGCAAGAGCTGCTGAAAAGACCTTTGAAACGTCACCGTTTCCTAAGGGCTCCAAGAAATAATGTCCTTCCTTGAGGTTAAACCACAAAGGTACATCTTTATACAATTCGAGGGATCACTTCTAAAATGACTGAGTGTGGCTCCTGCTTCAGAAGAGCAAAAAGCACACAAGTATCCTTGTAGCTTAACATACGTGTGAATTTCAGACTCCTTCAYATGGCAGAACACCAGCTTCCCTCTGGGTCCTGGTCACTCTGCAGCCCGGCATGGAGGTGGCACCTTCCCTCGGGAGACTGCATTTAAAGAAAAGATCCCGGTTTCCCACCGCGGAGACGCAATTTTAATTGTAACAAGCGTGCAGATCACTAGATGGCCTCGTARGCTCAGAGATTTGGGCAGATCCAGGCTCGGGCTGAGGACTCGCCAGGTTTAAACCAACCCCGCGCCGCGAGTGCTGCAGAATCATCACCTCGGGCAATGCATGAGAGCCTTTTCAAAAGAAATTTGTGAGACTTTGTCCCATAGGGAAGCTGGAGAACCCATGACACATATGTCAGTCCTGTTAGAAGCTGCTTGTGTTCCCTAAATCCCAGCAGATGGGACTGGAGATGGGGCAGAGACTTAGGTGGGAGTAGTTGGGGAGTCGCAGGTGTCTCGGAGGGAGGCGAGCGAGGTTTGGGGGATCTCTCTGTGAAGACTAGCAGTTGGAGAATTCGGGTGTATGCAGATGGGTTTGGTTCCTTGTACATCACCACTGAGTCACAGTCACTGCCCCGTGAAAATGTGGCCGTTTCGAGGCTTCGGAGCAAACAGCAGCGTTTGGAGGTGTGGGTGTGTCGGTGCTCACCTGCCACAGAGGTGTGACCTCCTGAGGGACAGCAGCAGCGCGGAGCTGTGAGGGAAAACCTTCCCCCCTGCCCACACCGGAGAGGGCCTGGGAGAGAGCAGAGGGGACCTTTCGAGCAGCAGAAATGTTAAGGGCACGGATGGACCATGGAGTGGGACAGGAACACTCAGAGGAGGAGGCAGAGATCCCGCTTGCCCGAGGGGCAGAGCCGGCATTGGACTCAGGCTCTCTCCTGCGGTCGCTGCTGTTGTCTCCATGAGGCTGGAGAGCTTTCCCTGGGCTCAGCGGATTGACAGCGCCCGTGATCTGCTATGCAAAGGGGACAAAAAAMCCCTTATTTTCCCTGCTGTCCAATTCGGACGTGTGTTATCACTCCTTTTCCCGCGTGGATTTTTATCAGCGTTTTTAAACACAGGGCTAGTCCACACTGACGCAAGTCTTTTMGAAAAGCCTTTCAAATGCATTAGGAGCAGAGCAAGACACGGCGCCGAGCAGGGGCCCGGGCTCGGAGCGGTGCAGGCGCTGCGGGAAAGGAAAGAGACGCGGCCCGAGCAGCGGCGGAGGCCTCGGCGGCGATCCCGGCGGCGATCCCGGCGGGCCCGGGCGCTCCGGCGCTGCCGCTTTAAGGACGGGCGGGAGGGAGCGCGGCCCGGCCCGGCCCCGGCAGCGCGGCGGTGGCGGCGGCAGCAGGTACGTGTGGGCCGGGTGTGCGGCCGGGCCGGGCAGCGRGCCAGGCTCTCCCCTTGCGCCGGCCGGGAGCTGCCCGTGCCCTCCCGGCCTGGGGTTTTGCCGCAAGAGCCCGGCGCCGGGCGAGYGGCGATGGCGGCGGGGTGGCCCAGGCCGCTTGGCCCGCGGGGCGGGCGGCGTTTGCCCCGCTCGCTGGAACCGCCGTGGGCAGGTCGGGCATCCCCCAAAGGGAAGGTGGGGCGGTGTGGTTAGGTTTTGGAAGGCTCTTGATGCCTTTAAAAAAAAAAAATCCTCAAATTGCATGGAAATTGGGGTCTGGTTTGGGGGTTTTTCTGGTAGGTTTTACTAGATTTTATCTTCTTGTGCAAGTTCTATTTGCCCAATGATACTATGATTTATAGTAAATAGGGCAGACCAGAAATGTCAAATGCAGGGATATCCATCCTCCTGTCCATCCTGATTTTATTCCCAGTAAAAGGGACAGGCCAGGAGTGTCACACACAGGGATATCCATCCCGCTATCCATCCTGATTTTRTTCCCAGTAAGAGGGCCAGGCCAAAATTGTCAAACGCAGGGATATCCATCCTGATGCCTTCCCTCACTAAGCGCTTAAGCTCAGTTTGGCRTTTTGAACACAGAGCTCTTGGCAGGTGTTTCTCTACCGAGGATTAATTTCAGGAGRGTAACCATCGTGACAGGCCGTGCAAAATAAACGCTACAGAATCTCAGCCCTGCTAATTTGCAGCAATTCGTGGACAAAAGCCAGCAAACAGCATTTGCTGACAAGATTTATCTCTCCGATTGATTGCAGTTAACATCATGCTCCCCTTAGGCWGATGAGGATTATAGAGCTCTGCCTTCAAGAAGGCAGGCATTTGCTAATTACGTTCATTAATTACATGGACTCCGCTGAATGGCATTCTCCAGTGTGGAAAAATGCAAAATGTTTGATCGCGTGTTTTTATTTGTAATAGAAACATAAAGCCCTTAGCCAATGATTTAAACAAAGATTTAGTGGGAGTATCAGCCTAAATAGCAARGTGCTAAATTCACAGTTTAACAGTTTAGTAAGTGATCAAACTAAAGCCAGTACTTCAAGCAGAGGCCAGCACACAACAAAAATACCACTAAACACATATGAATTTTTATTAAAGATACAGACAAATAAAGAAATGCTGATCTAATGAAAAACGAAGTGTTAAGAATGTTTCATTGGTATATTGTCTCTTCTAGTTTTAAGAACAACCTGCACTGCTCCAGATGGTGATGYTGTCAATGATTCTTTTGTTGTAAAAAATTGTCAGGGGTGGGATGAAAGTTGTTTTTCTTCATGCATCATTCTGCTGTTTTGTGAAAACCATTSCAGAAGAGAGAAAACAATTGCAAAACAATGAGTGCCGTTTCTCTCATGTCTGTTTGTACTTGCAGTCTTGCTGGTGTGGAAGCACAGGCCTGAAATGCGTCTCAGATCATCAGTTTCAGGGCAGGTTCAAAAGCTGTGCCCTGAAGCAAGGAAGTCTGAGTTATTGAAAAGAAATTAGCAAGGTGAGGAAGGCAAGAAGATACAGAACTATTAAAGGATGGGTAAAGGAGATCTTAGCAGGAAGGCTAGAAAACATTTCMTCTCCTTTTGACCACTTTTTGATGTGTGTACTTGCAGGGTCAGCATAGGAAAGGCCCAGGGTCTGCATGAGATGGCGGGTGAGGAAAGTTTGCAGATAGGTGCTGAGAGGCTCCTTCTTCACCTCTCAGTGCAGTGCTGTGGATCTCCGCTCACCATTCTCTTGATCCTTAAATGAATCTAAACTGTGACATACTAATCTGTCATTCTCCTTCACTACTTGTGTGAACTGTACAACACACCTTGAGTGGTGTGAGAAGGCTGAATGTATCACCTTTTAAAAACTTAAGGGTGTTGGATTCAATTTCTCTCTTCAGACAGCTTGGAGCATGTTTATATAGTTTTTTAGAGTAGGCTACAGTGATGGAGGTCTGCTTTCTTTTACAGCTGACAGTGTCCACATGAGAGTATTGCACTGTAAGGCTAACCAATCCTTTAAAATACTGACTGAAATGCAACAAATTGGGACTACTCTGGTTAAGATCAGTTTTTGGGTGTTTTTTTTTCCTGTTTTTGTCAGTTTTGGAGTTGCCACATTGATAAATCTCAGGGAGAAGGAGGAAATCGTTTAATTGCTTGCCTTTAAAAAGATGCTTTTGTTTAAAAGACTCATCACCATTATAAAACTTGTAATTAACGGTTTCTCTCAAACAACCTACTGATAAACATTGCTATGTCCACAGGCCCTGCAGTGCCAGAGTCTTCCTGCAAAATCAGAAGATTCAGTGGAAGAACTTTAAATGGGACTAGACTGCTGTGTGTATATCTTCAGGGCAGAGGGAGGGACATGTTAAAAGGTTACACATTTAATTTTTGGCTCTATCATCTGTCCCACTAACTGGATAAGTTTAGAGTACCCTCCTAAATACTCTCTTGATAGCTTCTTCCTTGAATACCACTTCTTTCAGACTTAAGACTGGAAAGGGGCAAGGCACTTCTTAATTCGCACAAGAGCACAGGGACCTCCTCTTCCTAAAGTCCCTGGTGGTGCCAAGCCTTGAAGTCACTGAAGAAACATAACTTATATATCATTTTTCGCCTTTCAGGAATTGTCATCCATCGCTATGAAAAACAACATCCTGTRAGTTTGTTTCAAGCCTTCTGCCACATCAGTTGCTTCAGATAAGCTCTCCTAGGGAAGGTTTGTGTCCTTGGAGGAACATGGCCTTCTGTGGCTGGAAGTGGCTCCTTCTTTTGGGGAGGCAGAACACCCTTTCCAAGGTCTGGAGAAGCAGGAGGGGAGGCCCCTCGGTGCGCTGGAAGCGCTGTTGCCATTGGAGTGCGGGCAAGTCTCTGGACCCCGAGGTGAGAGCGTTTCTGGAGGAGAACACCGAGGTCACCAACAGCGGGCACCTCACACCAGAGATCCGGCTGCGCCTCCTCACCCCTCGCTGCAGGTTCTGGAGAGAAAAACCTGACCTGTGGCCTTACGGGGACCCCTTCTGGGCWATTTACTGGCCAGGAGGCCAAGCCCTCTCCAGGTACACAGTTCACTACAGCTGATAAGTCCWCTGTGCCAGGATCAGACCTTTTTAGCTATTCCTAGTGATGTATGTTTGCATAGTATGGGTGCATTATCCATTCTCTCTGCTTATACAGCAACACYGTGATCTCTGCTGGTTTGCAGTGAGTTTCACCACCTGCTTGTGTCTCTTGAAAGCAGAAATTTGTTATATTCAGTGGCCGTGCACAGGCTGACAATGGGGCTGAATTTGAATYCATGGAAGGGCTGTGCAGTTGCTATCAAAACCCAGTGAGGTGTTTAATTCTATTGCTTCTTGTTGCTCCAAATGAGAGGATTGCTCTTTTGTCATAACATGTGGGTTTTTTGTTAGAAACAGACATGAGTGTGTATGTGCCTTTGGTCTGTTGAGAAAAGCAGTTTAATGCTGATGCACTTGGAGTGCTGGTTAGCCTGAATCTGTCTCCTCACCTAGGATTTCAGCACCCTTATTGTCAAAATTTACTGGGACTTTTAGTCACATCAGAAGCCACATTTTTACTTTGGCCACTGAGTGTCAAACTGTCTTTAATGTTCCTGATTCCCAAGAATTAATTAAGAGTTCTTTTATTCTGTAAAATCAAATCTCTCACTTTAAACAGCAGAAAAAAATCTTAAYTTTTACAGCAAAGAACAAGCTGTCAGAGAGTCCCCACATAGATGAAAGGGAAGAATCTGAATTGGGGASTTACTGTTTTTCTGCAAGAAAAGCATAAATAAGAAGGCAGTTTTGACCAGGTAAARGATGAGTCTTACTGTTAAATTATAAGTTGATTATCCTGTCATGTAGATGAACTAGAGTGCTCCTAAACACTAGACTGCTAAGTTAATCTCTACATTTTGTTATCATATGATTCATATGCTCAGATCTTTGGGTAGCAGTAATAATTATCTGGCATTTCACTAYTTTATTGTCTTACTGTTTGTGCACTGGTTTGATGTATTAAGAAATGTCAGATTAGCTGCATAATTTGGAAGAGTAAAAAGGGAGCATGAAAACATATGGCTGTCTCCATAACTCTTCCCCTTTCACAGCTGGCATTTCCACAACCTCAGGAGTCTCTTATTTCCAGCTACTCCTCTTGGTGTAACCCAAGATTCCTTGTACCCAGCAGGGCAGAGATGCTGTGTGCCAGGGAATACAGCAYGATCCAGCTGTCCTGAGTCACCACAATCAGCAGCAATAACTCAGTRACCACTCAGCTGGAAACAGGGCATTAGGCCACATCATGCCCTACACAAATTGCTAATGGAACGTCATGGCAAATCCAAGCAGAGGCCCTAGAAAGGTGAAACAGAGCACTTCAGTCCTGGGTGCTGTTGGTAAACTAGGGGCTGTTCTTCCCCTTAGGGAAACATTGCTAAACATCTGAGCTGCTGAGCCTCAACACAAATGTACTGTGCWTGAAATTCTCATTGGGCCTCTTGGTGCCATTCCTGCTGGTGCTTCCAGGCCCAGACATTTCCATCCATCCATTCCCTGTGTACAYGAGTCAACATTTCCCTTACAGTTAYCTGCACTRGAATCCCSCTGCAAAAKCTGTGCTTACCAGTAGGCCTSTGTGAAGAGWCAGCCATCACTCTCCCTGTCAGAAGGCAACACAAACAGAATCCTTTCTTGTTTCTACTTTAAAAGAAGTTACAGCAATTGGTAGTAAATTTATGGCAGTTTGCAGTAATTCATTCCACCCAGGGCTCTACTCCCTGCTGACATTTTGTGTTTTCCTCTTTGCAGCCAATTGAATTTCAAGGCAATTTTGAAGTTCTGAACCCTCTATAATGCCAATAATATGATTCATCGTATTTAACAATAACTACTGCTTGCCTTCTGTCAGTTCTCCACTTCCAGCCTAAAGGTTTTTCAGGATTTSTCTTGGCAGGTRTCAGCAATTAGATGAGGATACCCTTTCTGCTCACCACAGCTCTATTCTTTTTCTTGTTGCTACTCAGGAACACCACTAAGCMGTCTCCAAGTATTTGCATTTCTGTCTGCATGGTTCAGGAAAATAAAGAGGAGAAATTCCTCTTCTTCCAAGCAGTTGCATAAGCAGTGTTTCAGGTTGATGGGTATTCACTATGAATACATCATGTTTGTTCAGTCAGATTGCTTTTAATTTCTACAACTCCTTACTTTACTACTTCTTGTGCATTCTGATGCCTTCTAGTCACCTTGCAGGTTGTATCTGTTGAACAGGTAAGCTCAACAGTCAGAGAAGGAACTGATTGACGTAAAATGTTGCTTACTTGGCTGGATTTTTGTTTGTGGGTGGGGCGAAATAAGGGAGAAAAGTGATGGTTCTTGATATTTATGTCATCTGAGATAAATAAGGAGCTTTGTGGCAGCTGCACATGTGGAATAGTGTTAAGATACTACACTTCATTCCATGTTTGGCAAGAAGTTCTTATGCAGTGTAACATAAACCTCAGAAATGTGCATGATCTTGTTCACTGTTTTAACAGCTTTTCTTTTTCAGGTATATTTTAGATAATCCACGTGTTGTTAAAGGGCGATCAGTTCTGGATCTTGGAAGTGGATGTGGAGCAACAGCAATAGCTGCTGTCATGAGTGGTGCATCCCAAGTCCTTGCCAATGACATTGACCCTAGTAAGGTCTTTTTTTTCCATCTCTCTGTAAAGATACTTACTAATTTTTWAAGCACCTTAACCCAGACTTTTCTTTGCTTCACTTGGGAGAAATTCAAGTTCCAGAGTCCTATGAATGCTAAAAAGAAACATGGATTTTTCCAGTATTAGGAGCTGGGTTGTATCAGCCTCTCTTGGCCCAGATATTTTCATAGCTTCGTAGAAAGAACAAACAGGAAAGTTGCTATCAAGCGTTGCCCATATGCCATCACAACTGGTTTGGATGAGAACTCCAAGCTTGGCTTCTTTGTAGGACCATACCATTTTCCTGTACTTTCACGTTAGAGCYTAGATTTTGCCTTTCCCTCCAGACGTCCATAATTGAGCCATAATAAAAACTGTGGAAGCCCCCTGGATAGGATGAACAAAAGTATTTAAGAGATGAAAYTGAAAGATGTGTCACAGAAATAGGTAAGGGGGCCGAGTGGCAGAATCCTAAAATGTAACTTAAATTTTCCTTTGACTTTTCTTCAGTTGCAGGAATGGCAATGATTTTGAACTGTGAACTGAACCACCTGAATCCCTTCCCCATCACCATTAAGAACATCATTAATTCAGAGGCTGGCAACTGGGACCTCATAGTTCTAGGAGATATGTTTTATGATGAACAGCTTGCTGATAGACTGCATCGCTGGCTGCAGAAGTGCATCAGGATACACCAGACTCAAGTGCTRATTGGTGACCCTGGCAGGCATCAGTTTTTAAGCCACAGCATTCACAGTCAGCTGCACAAAGTTATAGAATATTCACTTCCTGAGCACACAAGGCAAGAGAACTAYGGGCTGACATCGAGTATTGTCTGGAGCTACCAGCCCTCAGACACCTTAGAAGACTCTTGAAACTGGCTTTCTATGGGATTCTGTCTCACTTGGTTGGCTTTTTGCAAGTATTTAAAATGAAAATAGGAATTAAACAGGGAACATTATCTGTTAATGTAAAGAAGATTACTGTACCTTCACTGAACTGATTTCAGTCATACTCAATGAGGCTTTTGCTCAGTTTGAGGTAAAAGCTACATGCAAACTGTATTCAAARGGGCCTGCACTGAAGTGCAGATCTACAGACAACTTACATGTAGGAGTCTGCATGCTTGATGTTTCCATGTATATTTGTGTCTTGCTGACATTACTGTGAAATGTTTTGGGTGCCCAGAATACTGCTGTGGCTAAAAGACTACTGTGCTGCTTCTACAGGTTTTTGCAGCTTATTTACAGAGAAAATTATTGTGGTCCTTCATCAAATTTCCATTATATTAGCTCATAATATGCTCAACTTAAAGTGCCTTGTTCTTTTTCTCAGTATCTCTTCTGAATGTCAAAGTAACCCTTTTCCTCTAATAAAAATTTCCTCCTCCTTGAAGCTGCCAGAGTGATTATGTAGGAGTTGCACACAAATCTAAATTCTGCTTCTTAACTGCCAGCCAGCCTAAAAGTTATAATAAAGGAAAAGTGAATAAATAGTACCAGCTATGGGCTAACTTCATCCCCTCAAAAATGGGGTCAAATTATCTACATTCCTTACTTTGCAAGGATAAAACAGGCAATCTATCACCTTGGGAAGCTGCTGAGAGGTGAAGTAATCTTTACTGCTGTGACAAACAGAAGGTAACTAAATAAAAACAGAATAAAAGTCTGATATAATTATTTGTCTCTTGTATTGAGGAGATGCTGGACAAACTCCAGAATAATTCTCAGTTTTATCTGCCAACTAAGAACTAGTTTCATCTGCCAAGCAGGATCAAAAACAAAAAAGCTGATCCTCAGGCAAGATGCTGTAACTATGGCCATTTGAAGAAGAAACTGATGTTTTTCAACCCAGTCTTACAGGAACTATCAACTTTAGCAATCAATTGAACAAGCAGTGATGGGGAACTAATAACTTCACTGTAGAACACAATTTTATCTACATTGCATCTACAACTATCCCAATACTAGATGTTGTGGTAAAAGTTTAAACATATGAAAAGGTTTGTCGTACTCACTCAGACAACCAGGGTATTAATGAAGCAGGAGATTTAGGAGCACAGTCAGATGTATGTGGTTCTATAATCCTACAAGTTTTCAGAACTATCCAAACAGCCAACTTCCAAACTTTAATCTTGAGAACAATATGTGAATATTCTGTAAGGCTCAACCATAAATATCCAAACAATACAGAATACAAAGTGGCAAGCACATATATGAGGTTCTTCTCCCACTTCACCCAGTGCCTGTAAACATTTGTTGAAAATTAACCTGAATCAAAACCATTCCAGTAGAGTTATGCTAGTWTAAACACAGATCAAGGCAGACTCAAGCTCCAATGGTGAAGCATTTAAAGTAACTTACATTAAACTTTCGAACCTAAAACTACAGTGTTAAGTTGTTGTAGTGTTGTACTGCTTTTTAAGCACCAGGTGAAGATGCAACACTTAAGTTACACACTGAGAAGAGGCTGTAGGGGAAGATGGTAAAAATCTACAGCACATTTAAGGGCACAGTATAAGCTGCATTTGCCTTCAGCATGACAAATCCAAGGTTATAGCAGCAAGGGGAAAAAGGACAACTTTGCCACTGAGGTAAGCAGTAGCACTGTTTCACAGAGCTGCCTAATCAGCTATAYGATTCAATATCAAAAATAGTGCAACCCAGATTTAGTGCCAACCCATGTCCAAAAGTTCAAAGGAATGATGGGCCCTGATTGATCCCAGGGATTCCACAAGGCATAACTACTCTTTAGCCAAAAAAAAGGAAATAAAAATGGTAGATTAGGTTTTTAGGCCCCTATCTGTGCAAGGATTTGCTGCAATGACAGCTGTCAGATGCTGGGGGCTACTGTAGCAAAATCAACTCCTTGCAAGGAAKGGTTTGTACTGGTGCAGTTGCACCTACAAGGATCATAGAACACATCACTGGGCTGAGCCTGGTACTGCATGCAGTAAGAGTAAGGGATTTACGCACCGGTATTGGAAAAATACAGTTTTAGTTACATTTAAACAAATTTTCTAAACAGAATTGCACTTTCATAAACCATCTAATCAGCAGAAGAACAGAGATTGTCAGACATCATAATATCCTTTAATATTGGCAACAAAAAATATCTTCCATGCAACTTGACCTGAACTTTAAATAGATTAATATAARACTGGTTTATTTCTGCAACATCTARGTGTGGCTATGACAAGAGTTAAATTGTAAACTAAACATATTCCTTATGTTTGCCTAAACTCTTCAGGTTTCCAAATGTCATTAGATCCATGTTAGACCACTCTAGCTAAAGCCTTTTACTTCCAGATCCAGAGTATGGACCCAGAGTGCTTACAAAGCTAAAATGGCTGGCACTAAGAAGCTTAATGCAGAAATCATAACTAGACCTTATGCTGGTTCAAGAAAGCCAAGGAACATGACTTATAATTGTGATGAGAGCACTGCTCCATCAACTCAAAACATCTTCTTTAATATGACTATAATTGAACAATACATTTACTGATATTTTCAGCATCTGGGGGACACTGGATATATGACAAACTGCATACAGCAGAACACATACTATACCCTCCTGAGATTTAAGTGCTCAAACACTACATTTGGTCCTATTTCACTCACAGATATGCTTATGAGTACCAGTGTTTTGTATAACAAAAGGATTTTCCTAAAAGGATTTTCATACAGAAACATAGGCAAAAGCCAGAGCAAATTGAATATTTGCCCATATAAAAAAAAAATTTCTTGCTTATAGCTACTGCTCTGAAATTTGTAAAGTCACCGTAACAATTTCAAAGCAAGTTTATGTTTACACATTCAGACTCTAGTTTTGGATGTGTAAAAATCCATCAAGTATTTGATGGTAAATAAAAACAGCAACCTGCAGAATCAGTAACATCAGAAGAAAGGTACCTACATTTTCCATTCCAGACCTAGCAAAAGTACATGGTGAAAGGAGATTGTTACTACTGAAAGTACATCTGTATTGCTGTTACTGCCACCTCCATTCACCAGTTCTGTCAGTTGATTTTGTCAGATTAAACTCCCAACTTGACATATGCTTCTGTGCATCAGTGTTATGTTTGGTAYTTTTAGTTGCAAGTACCCTCCCAGAATACAAACTCAGAACACAGACTTACTTAAACTGGGTTTGTACATAGCTACATTGCTAATGGATGCCAAGGAGCAGCCAAATCCGGCACATCAAGAAGGCTGAGCAATGGCAGCATAATATTAATTATAGTTTAACCTTCCTCTTCATGAAATATGATCAGCAATGCAAAGACAGACAGGGCTCCAAGTAGAGACAAAGGGGAAGCCCGAACTCACAGGCAAGGACTGGAATAGCAATGGAGACCTCCAGTGGGAAGCAGCAGTGATGCAAGCTGGTGGCACAAAAGTCACCAGCCAGTTCTCCAAGGTGCTTGTTTGCTGAAGGAGCTCTCCCACCTGTAAACTTGTCACTCCTATGTACAAGATAACTAATCAGTAAACAGTCCATGTTAGTTGCTTGATTTTGTTTGATACRATGAGCTGCTCTAAAGCATCTCGGGAACGATCTGAAAAAGAACAAAGGAATTTSTTGTTATTCATTCAGAATATAGAGCTGGTGTTCAGATTAGGTACACAACACAGTAAAGGAATTCTGCATGCATACTTCTCTTGCTATTGCAATATCACACTTCAGATGGACCTGTGGTAATACAAAACCCCTGGGTTCTTTCTCTAATCACTTAACTGGAAAGCATCACAAACCAACAGCAGTTAAAAAACCCRCAGGCTGTCCCATTCCATTGTTTCTTGAATTGATGCTGTTCCCCACATTTTTCAGAAGTCTTTGGGTCTTCATCAGCATGCTCATGTGGGGGTTAAGAAAAAAAATCCAATTTCCAAAACAACAAAAAAAATCCCCTCTCTGAAGGCARTATTTCAAAGTAAAATTCTCACCTTGCTTTGAAAATCTCAATGTATGATGATTATTTTATCTAGTAAGCTATTGGGATTATTTATGAAGTACAATGTGCTTTTTCAGAATGCAAGAAGGTATGATCAGTAAATAATTATCTTCTTACTCCCTGTGTGATTGGACCTACCTGTTATCAATGGGCATCCATGGAACAGAAAAATATGTATCTTGGGACAACAAGTAAGGACAGCTTCCACAGCAACATCTGTCAGATTCACACAGCGCTCCATGTGGATCTCCTGTTAGGAAAACAGGAATGCCAACAGCTTGTCAGAGCAGCCAAAGTTTTAGAGGCAAAGCTTTCCTTTGCCCAACCAATTTCAGAGATCCCCAACCAGAAAGAATTATCACCTCTGTGAATTGACATCATATGTGGTCCTGCACAGGCCACAAAAATACCCTAAGGAAAAATAACACAGCTTTTCTATGCAGAGTCTAAACTAGAAACATAAACCTGAGCTTTCCCAACAAACAGATATCATTCAAGACAACTGAGAAAACTCTTCAATAAGATTCCATGGTGTTTCAGATCCATCACTTTCCCTATGACATTCTATCAATTTGTTGTCCAACAAAACAGAACCCAAATTCAAACTAAATTCAGCTCTTTCCCAAAATAGGAAATATATATGAGCCTCTGCCAAAGTTTCTGGTACTTCTATTTATCTACATGGCTCCTAAAAGAAGTCTAAGAACTTATTCAAGATGAGACTAAATCCTGCTCTTTTCTTCATTTCTCTGCAGCTGTACAACTACTATCTTTTGTACATACTAGGAGAAGATGAAAAGCAGAACAAATAAACCAATCATTACCATTTTTTTCCCCTCCTCTCAACTGCCTTACCTATCAAATGTAACATACAAGAGGAAATGCAGAAAGACCATCAAATCTAATGAAATTAAGATATGGCAAAATATACTTTGGAGATTGTAGGGTAAAAAAAACAAAACAAAACAAAACAAAACATTGTCTTACTGGAAAGTCTTCCCAATTTATAAATTCCAAGGATTTTGGAAGAGGACATAAATGAAAGTCAGTCAGTAAAAACTCTCACTCAGAAGTAATGCTGTTGATAATAACAATTCTTAAATGCAGGCATTTTCTTTTATTCATCCTTTGTTCTCAGGTTAGGTCAGTTACCTTTAAATTCTTCGAACATGTCCCACTCACTAGTGCTACAACGCCATCATCTGTTACCTATAGAAAAAAACCACAATGGATTAAAGCTCAGGTTTTTCAAGCACAGCTATTTGGGTGGGAAAATCGTATTTATTTATTCCCTCCCCGCAGTCAGTGAATACATTAAACACTACAGTATTTTCTTCTTAAGTTAACTTGTAGAGAAAATTATCCAAAGTGGGTTTTTTTTCATTCTATTAAATACTGTTTCATTTTCCTACCATGTGATCCATCCTGGCTTTCTGCAAGGATGTTTCCAACTATGTAACTGCTATTTCTGCAGCTTCCTTCTCTCATTTCACAGTGGGTACACTAATATGGTCAGAGCACAGCAAATTTTAATTTCTGGGTTTAAACAGCATTTCTGCTCTACCTAGACCAATTTAGGTTGAGAAAAAAAAGTAATCGTAACAAAAAAATAAGAAAATATGCGTAAACAAGTAGTTAAGAAAGTTTTATCTCATTTAAAATACACACAGGGTAGTAGCAATTCTCTGTAAAGGAAGAGAGGCAAGGAAATWAAAAGCAATGAAGTAAGTTTGGAGATGTAAATTACAGAAGTAAAAGTTACCAAATGAAATATTAAGTCTCTTTTGATACCCAGCTTCTGGAAAAAACAAAAGAACAATAGCATCCAAAATAAGAACCTCCTACATGTTTTTGAGCTCTGACATTTCATTGTGAATGCTCAGTACTGGACTCACATTTAACATAATTACCATCAGCATCAATTGAATGCTACACTTACTGCAAAAAACCTTTCCCTCACTTCATTATCTCACTGTAATTATGAAAAATGTTACAGGATTGCTTTTGCAGYTCATTTCCCCCTTGTTATGCTAAATACTGTTGTTAAATCCTCTTCCCTGCCATTTCTGACATTTAAAATGTCATTCTTTTAGTGTTGACTCTGTAACATAACTGACAAGCCATTCAGAAACCACAGTCACTCTTAAACTACCATTTAATTATGGAGTGTTTACTTCCACTAGGGGCTTGGATTGTTTGACATCCTAGATTATTACCCACATCAGCTTGTCCTAMCTGAAAGCAGGCCAAGAAATCTGTCCAAGATTCTACTTTCTTTACACGGGACATTTTGGATTACTTTACAACCTAAAGAAACTGATTGCACTAATTAAAGATACTGAAAAAAACCCCTAGGTATATTCTAACAAAAGTTTGTCTTTGGTTGACCATAGATGTGGTAATACCAAAATGTCTATTTTTCCAGTTACCAATATGTAAAATACAGCTTTCCTTCTCCTTAAGAGGGAGAAATTAGAAATAAACTATGCTCCTCAATCTTGTCAGAAGGAGAGCTAAAAAGACCCCCTTTGAATTTTATCACAACAATCTTAAAAAAGAAACAAACAAAAGCCAACTGGTCAACTGCAACCGTAGCTACCTGAGTAGATGAGAAGTCCACACTGTGAAGAAATTTGCAGTTTTGTCCGAGTGCCTGCAGAGATGCATCCATGATGCCTGAACAGCCACCCAAGTTCACGATTTGTAGGAATTGGCAGTTGAGTGCAAGAGCAAGAACTCCACTGTCTGTTATATCACAGCACCTTTTGAAGGATGCTTCACGCAGGTAAGGACAGGACAAGGCCAGTGCAATGACTCCTGCCAAAAAAACAACATTTCAAAGAGTTATTCATTCTTTAACATAACCACCATGCTGAGTCCAAAGGCTCTGGAACAAGTTTTGTGGAAGGAATAATTAAGATACAGTGGAAACCATGATCAGCATACATGGTTTTACCAGAAATCTAGCAGGAGAGTRACCTGATAGCTCTCTCCTAAGATAGTTAGTGCTCAAGGCCTGTAATTTACACCCCTGAAGAGACTTTTAATTAGCATTCAGGAGTTTTTTTAAGCAATATTTACCCTAGATTTTTTTTTTTGCAATTTATTCCACTCTAAGAAGAAAAAGAAGCCAGAAATAAGTTCCCAGTTATCTGTGCATAGATAACACACCTTCTGAAGTGATTCCAAATCTGTTTTCCTTGCAAGAATTTAAGTTGATTTTTTTCAGCTGCTTGCAGTTATAAAGCTGTAGTAATGCATTATCTGAAATATCACAGTCTCGGAGGTCCAGAGACTCCACCGCAGGGTGCAATACCTGTAATGAAAACCCAACCATTTCAGTCAAACTCTGCTACACCATCAAACATGCAATTTGCATATAAAATACCTGTAATATTAGACATCACATAGGGATGGGATACGAGCCCTAAGAAGTAAAAACTAATGAATGAAAATGAAATAATAATAATAATAATAATTTTCATAATAATGAAAACTAATACAGTCTATTTGTGCAACAGTTCAGCTCTTAAGAGCATGAATGTTCAATTCCTGTGACATACAGAGAAGGAATACGTTAATACTGCTACTTAAAACAGAGGAAATACTGTCTTGATGGTTCACTTGATACCAGCAGTGCTTCTACCAGCACAGACATGTTCATACAGGACAATGCCCTTCTTCCCAGCACAACTCTGGGGACAGAAATCTGCAGTGCAAAAAAAATCCCGTCTCTGATGAAAAATTAAATCTGTATTAACAGATAAGAGTGATGTTTGAAAGGTATTTTCCCCCAGAGTGTTTTTCTCACCCACACACTCATGCTCTTGCTCATAAATAGCACTCTCATTATCATACCATGAGCCAGTACCAAATCCTCATTAAATGGAATCTTTCAAGACCTAGATTGGAATTTTTCTGAAATCTTTCCCAAGAGAACATTTATGAAAGTTGGACCCAGAGCAGTAGGCCTCAGATTTTAGTAACAACAGCCATATACTCCCTTCAGCTTGTTACTCCCTTTCTTAACTCCTAAGGATAAAAGCATAAATTTGCATAAACTAGCAAAGATAACAGCACAGCTGGCAGGTTTGTTAAAGGCCTATTCCTCCTCTTGTTTACTCTAACAAGGTAGCACAAAGATACTACAAGGACAACAGGCTTTCTGTTTTGCAAATATGTAAGAATTTTAGATAGACTAAGGGTTGTCTGGATGCAGCACACAAAAAAAAAGACATTAAAAATACAGGCTTATGTCCTGTGGACATATGCTGAATAACTATATAAAACTTTATGATGAAAGGGAGTTAGAATAAGGAGYCTGGCATGAATGTGGATGGCTGCTCCAAGCAAAAAACACAGTAAGGGGGAAAATATGCACGATAACACAAATTTGGACCAGAATAGAGAGGCAAGAGATTAAATAGAAGCTTATACAAAAGTTCAGATTAACAGAATTTTAACTGAAATTTAAGCAAAAATCTTTAAAAAAAAAAAAAAAAACCCCAAAAAAATCCAACCCCAAAGAAAAGACACGAAGGACATGTACAAAAACAAATGAGAAACTGCTGGCATAGAAAGCTAAGGTATAAAATGCCCAAGGAAAGTCATGACACCTAAGGATAGAATTGCAGAAATTGAAGGAACAGAGAAAGGAAAAACACATGAAAAAAGAACCAGAGCAGAATTTCCCAGTATCACACGGAAAATGGGATCCAAGAAAAGGCACTGATCAACTGCTGAATGAAGACAAAAACAGATAAGACTTTAGAAAGAGACAGCAGAGAAGTCTGTAAATTAAACTCTCTAGTTTATTTGCAGACTAAAAATATCCTAATAGATTTTGTGCATCTATACACACACAGTCACATGGCTTTAACTATATAATCTCTGAGGATGTTTTGGAATTATTTCTCACTGAAGAGATAGCGTAAACCAGATTTTGTCCAGTCAAGTTTTTCAAAATAAGATACATTTGATTTTTACTCAAAGACTTACTCTGTGTAAGCACAAAAATATTTTATCTAAATAGTTTTGTTTGTAATTTTTCCACAGTGYCTCTAGTCTTGGCTTCACTATCGTGACTCTGAGAAACAGATTATATTCGTCTGTTCTGAGTTACAGGACAAAGCAGGAATGCACAGGGAGTAATTCATTTTCTATTTCACCAAGGCCACGCTTTAGTTTTCCTCAATTCTCAAGCCTCCCTTTGAGGCTGAATAAGATAACAGTAAACAGATGTGTCTCTGAATTTACAGCTGAAGGAAWGTCATTAACTGGTGTTATATTGAAACACTGACACACATCAGTAAGCAAAAGGGATGGGAGAACTTGAACTAGCAATTTCTAGCTCTGGCATCATTATATTTCAAAGAAGTAAAATTTAAATAAATTACATGGAGATTGCATGCTAAGTTCAATAGAATTTCTAAAAATTTGCTGAAATCCTTTATATAATATATATAAAATAAATTATACATGAGCTTGTTGAAAACATCACACTCAGGAACAGACTGGAGTGAGAGGCTACTTTCCCCTCCTGAAATGGAGAGCTTAGTTTTGAATGGATTCTTACCTCACTGATATTTGCATCAGTTATTTGCCCTTGCCTACTCATTAATTTAATCAGTTTATCCTTTATGTTGGGTGGCAATGACTTAATATCTGCAGAGTATCTGGAAAGGTTCTTTGTCAGACACTGAAGGCATCTGAAACAAAGGAAAGTTACAGTACAGTCAAAAAGAGGCATTACRTATTAGAAGCAGAACAAGCAAGCCATAAAATGTCATCTTCTGCATYCAGCTATGGAGATCCCTTCAGACCTTATGGGTTCCAGCTGTTCCCTGCTACCACTGACCCTTTGGGGTCAATCAGCTGATCCTACTGTGAAAGTGTTCCSTAGGCAGCTGAAGGCAAAAATTAGACCATTTTTTACTGTGCCTTCCTCATGCTGTTATTGAAATTCTCAGTTGCACTGTGAGCTGTTCAGCATCTGATCTGAATGAAAATCCCCTTGATTGAAACTCTGAGGACACAGAAACAACACTGCCAGGACAAGTGGCTGAGTGCAGGGGTCAACAGCAGCCTGGAGTTATGCCAAATTAGATTTAGCATTTAACCCTGGCTCTGGAGTTCCTACAACTAAGTTTTTTTCTGCAACAAAACCTTGCCTGGCATCAGAATGCCACCAAACTGCAGGAAATTAAACTCACACCAAAACTTTAGAGAGGTCAAAATATTAATGTTTTATGATCTGAAGGGTAGCACAGACTTAAGCTGGGAAAAAAGCAAGATTTCCAGCATGGAAGCACATTATAAAAATAAAATAAAAAAACCCACTGAAGTTCACACAGTGTAGTAAGGGTACTTCCAGCAGGTCCTTGGAGGTGTATGGAGGAGACTGATTTCAAACAGAATCTGGGCAGTTTAACTCAGAGAGGCCTGCAGAGACCTTTATAAACCCAAGCACACACCACAATCACCTTTAACTCATTCTTCCTACAGAGATGTGCAAGAATCCARTGCTTCCATGGAAGCTCAGTGATTCCTGGATGAACTCAGCTGACTGACCTACAGAGAAGCCTGTACCAAGCTGTGTCTCAGTATATACTCAGAAATCAATGTGAGTTAGGCCAAGTCTTTCAGCTACAGTTAACTGTCYCTTGCCACAGAATAYTAAATTTAGGTCGAGTTATTATTGAGATTAGTCATGTTTTTTTCAAAAAGCTAGTTGATACTCTCGTAATACATTACTGATCTGCAGTTTAAGCAATCATTCAAATTATAAATTTTTCACTGTTATTCTACTTTATAGGAAACTCTAAGACATTTATTAGGTGCACCATGGCAACTATAATCTCATCTTCAGGGCTTTAAGATATGAATAACAATCTAACTGTACTCTTCRCTAGCTATTCTTCTTTTATCTTTCTAATGAAATATTTTATTCCTGTGCTGTTTCTAACTTCCTCTGGAACACAAAGRAATTTGGCATTGACAGACAATGGAGAGAACARAAATTTTCAGTTCCCCTTTAAGTTGCAAGATAAAGCTTAAAGACTGACTAGCAAATTAGATAAAAGAATATAAAAGCAGACACACAGGATACTGAATATAGCTAGAACCAGCGGATAAACAGTCAGTGAGGAATACAGTGGTTCTTGTGCCAAAGTTATGTARCAAGAARCAAGAGTSCAYGCCTAAGAGAAGTTCAAGGCAAAGTCATCYTCTGCAACATWGGGAACACTTGGTGATCAYGAGACAGCTTCAGACGACCCTSTAAGACCACAAAAAGACTTCCAGYAGGAGGTGGRTGCATGGAAAGTAGTTCCAGGGTAATTCATGTCTATGTACTACCCAGGAATAGCACTTTAAAGAACACCTACGAACGTGACAGAATAAATACCTGGTTGTAAAGGGTCACGACAGAGGAAATATGCTTTCTAATGTTTGTAATACTTCAAATAGTGTTAGAAAAATTGTTCTTAGCCGATTTCGGTATCAACATGATGAAAAACTCAAAGCAAAACACCATTCACTGGATTCTCTGGGGCCAAGCGAAGCCAGGGATCCTCAGCCGTTCCCTGCACATCCGGATCTGTCAAGGATCATCCTGTCACCTCCCTGCCAAACCTCGTCACCCCGTCACTGCTGTCACTCCTCCCAAACGGGCACCTCCGACACACCCTGCCACCTGTCCCGCAGCTCCTGAGCGCTGCCGAGCCCTGCCAGGASCCGCACCCGCTGCAGCCGCTCCAGCACCGCGGGCACAGGCCTGCCGAGCCCGCTCCCCCTCCCTGCGCCCCGGCACAGCCCCTCTCGCAGGGCGGCCAGGCGGGAGCGTGTCGGGGCGGCACTCACAAGTCCAGGAGGAGCCGGACTTCCTCGCCGGCGCCGTCCCAGCTCATGGCGAGGAGCGAGGAGCGCGGCGGAGCCCGAGGAGCACAGCGGGGAACGGGCAGTGCGGGGCCGCCGGTGCGGCCCAGCGGCTCCGCGGTCGGGGCCGAGATGGCGGCGGCGCCCGGGGGATGATGGGAATTGTAGTCCCGCTGCTGGCCCGCCGGGGATCGCTGAGGCGAGATGGTGGCGACGCCCGGGGGATGATGGGAGTTGTAGTCCCGCTGCCGGCCCGCCGGGGATCGCTGAGGGAGCGCCTCCCGGAGCGCTGCGAAACCTGACCGCCGCAAAAACGGGGCTCTCATTCCCCGTTTCCACAGCTTAATAGTTAAAAGGACCTGTTCTGCCAAGCCTGGAAGAAGTACAGCGGAGGTTGGGAGYCCTCAGGGAAGGGACACAGTGGTTTTAAGAGTCCTTTCCCTCCTTGCTCCCGTCGGTGGTGTTATTCCACACCCCCAGGTTTCCTATTACTGCCATCCATCTGCAGAGATAAGAGCCTGCTGTCTGCCAGAGCTTTCGTCCTGCAATTAATTTTGTGAAAAACGAGGTTCACTTTGCTGTGAAAATTTAAAAGTTTAATAAATGTCAATTGGACACACAAAAAGCAAAAGGATATGATGTGCCAGGTGCCTTGGCAATTTGCCAGAAGCACACCTGGTATTGACAGAAACCTCTTTAAATACATTCTGTGTTACATCAGCCTAATGCCTATTAGACATTTATGCATATTTAAACTTGTCTAGTAACTGTTTAACATGGATGCGCCTTTTTACAGTCTGGTTGTTTTATGCTCCTGGGGTCACGTTCGTGTGACCCCTATTCCATAATTTCAGCAGATGGTCCTTGTCGATAGAGAAGTATTTATAAAAGGGTTCCCAACACTCCTGACCTTTCCATGCAGATAAGCCCATCCAAAGGTTGGGGGTCTCACCAGCCAGACTCCTTGTGCCACAAACAATGGATGTTTTACAAGCTCCTCTGACCAGAGACTTTTTCTAATACGAATCCATTCCCCCTTTTGGTCAGGATCTGTGTTGATAGCTTTGGGGAAGGTGATCCTTTTCTCATGCTTTCCTTTCTCCTTTTCTTATCTTTTGGTCAGTGTAATTGCAGCCAGGACACCATTCATAATCTCAAGGAGTCTCCCTGTAGCTTCTTGTATAGTTTTGCTGTAATGTGCAAAAAAAATCCTACATGGAAAAGTTTAAGTGACAATCTACAATATTTCAGTTATTGCAAGATAATCAAAAGTGTTCTATAACTACATCTGAATTACAAAGAAAATAAGAACAGTAATTATTTCACAATCATGTTTACATAACTAAACTTCTTCTACAAGTAAGACATCATATTATGATGCACTATATATAGCATCTATTTTTAATCCCTGCRAAGGCCAACACTATAATATGTGTTTATATCACAATTTTGTCTTTTTTTTTCTTTCCTTTTTACATTTCTGTCTAGATGGTGTGATATAAAATAAACCCACACAATCCTGAGAAGTYAGCAGTATTATTAACAAATATACACTGCTTCATCATCTTCAGACTCAAGATCCACCACCTACCCCTACTAAAAATATCAAGAGATTGACTAATAGAAGGAAACATCTGTTCTCACAAAATTAACTGAAGRATCCRTATCTAAAAGAAACACAGTTCGCTGCTGATGCCTGATAATTTYGTTAAGTCAACAGCTGAAACATCTGCTTAACAAATAAACCACAAGAATGCTGATGCATGATGATGCTGCAAGGCCTAMAAAATATACTTTGTGATTGGATAATTAGAAACATGCATTCGTAGGTAATTGGATGACTCAGATCATACTCTTACGGTGAAAGCTATAAAACCCCCTGAAGAAAAATTGCGTGTATGTAACCAGCTTGGCTRGGACATCTCATGCACATAATTAAATATTTACCCTGCAATGCTATTCAGTCATCATGAGCCTGTTATTGAAACAAAGACCAACAGACAAATAATTTTTGTCTGTTAAAAAGGCATTTATTAAGCCAGCTGAGAAAAAGCATTAGAACCTCTGCTCTACCAAATGCTTCACTGTTTCATATAGATTTCAGTGAGTTTATACAGCATTTTTACTATATTTCCTTATTTTCTTTTTTGGTTAGTATGCAATAAGTAAGTGGTGCAGCATACACTGCATCGAGCTACTATATTTTTAACCTGTTGTTCATGCAAAAACGGACAATTTTCCTTTTCTCAGCATGGGGTATAGGTATGCATTATATCCAGCTGCTTGTCTTCCTATTTTACCAGTTTTGTTTACTAAATTTCCTGCCCATTGTTAGCTATTCTGTTACACTGAATTTAAAGTCTTTTATTCTGTTAAGTTATAGTCATGCCAATACTTTAATTCACATGAGTTAAATACAGGCCACCCTGGAGATCCCTTTCCTGGGCTGAGGAGACATGATAAAGCTGTAACAAACTGTGTGGTACTGGCACATTCTGTGTGCTGAGTGACAAACCTAAACAGCACACAAACCTGGCWGATGAACAACCAATTATTTTCCCATTTTTCACAAGATTCAGTTCACCACTTTCTCCCAAGAGTGAGTCTGGAAGTGGGTAGCAATAAGGCTGGGGTTTCACCGAGGGTAGGTTTCTCAGCTTCCATTCCTCATCTTCTCAGCTGGAAATAATTAAATAATTAATTACAGTGAGTTTAACTGTCTAACCCCCAGAGCTGCTTCTAAAGCAGTTAATGAACTGCCAAATTTCACACACCCACGCTGTATCTCAAACYTGGCATCAGGTTATCCCAAGGAGGAGACCCATGCTTCTCTTACACGGGTTTGACTGCAGGCACCTGCAGGAAGGATTTCAGCCAGATCAGCCTGAACATAGTGASCAGCCACACTGATAAAGCTCCAAGCTATTAACAGTGACTCAGGAAGTGCTTGAACACAGACTCCCTGCAAAGAGTGAGGCCTCAGCGTGTGCTGCTGTATGGGGTTATTCCTCCCCAAGTGCAGAACAGCAATTCCCTTGGCTGAACTTCATTAGGTTCCTACCTTCTGATTTCTCCAGCCTGTCAGTTGTCTCTGTTCAGAGGGACATCATCATGTTGCCAGATGAAGTCATCTGCACCTGGTGGGCTAACACAATGCCTATTCTTCAAAAACCACTGGCCTGTGGAACTKCATGATTCTGCAAGAAGAATTGGAAAGCAGCCAGACCAGCTGTGCCAACTTCTACCAGTTCACTGGGCAGTCAGGTATCACTTTGGGGTCAACCATCAAAGACACTCCYAGGACACAATAATGCTTGCATAAAGGAGAGGGGGAAAACATTAATGATTTTGGGGAAATGATTATCATATTTATGTTTATTCTGGGAAAATTAATGGATATGTATGTAAAATATAGTATATAAACAGGAGCTTTTMTGTATTCAGCATGCATGATATTTCAGAGSAGATATCCCCTTGTGCATCAGGCATTGAATAAAGAATACCTGCTTCCAATACTACATGGGTGTTAAGGTTGTTTTTTTATTTTGACTCATTTTTGGCAACAATCAGGAACATCAGTCACTATTCCCAGTTTTAAGTCATCTGGAAGCTTGTAAGCATGCAATTTGCATGTCACATTTTCATGGTCATTAAAGAAGATGTTAAGTGGTATGACCTTAATATTGGCACAAGGGTCTCCAGCTTGTCTTTCTGCTGCTGATGCCTTCAGCTCAGAAGTTGAAGCTATTTCCAATCTACCTCACTGTGTAATGATCCARCCCAGTACTGGGCTGGATAGGAACCTGACCAAGCTCAATAGAAACCTGATCTAGTTAAACATGTGCCTGCTCATTGCACGGATGTTGCACTAGATGACCTTTAAAGGTCCCTTTCAACCTAATCTGTTCTATAAAGAATAAGGCAAATAAGGTATTRAGGACCTCAATATTTCTGTGTCAGCTTGGTAGTATGACGTTCTGGTTTTGTTGGATCTCAAAAGGATAAAAGAACAAGATGCTGTAAAGAAAAAAGTGTTTTTAAAGGTTAGTCTTCCATGTCTCTTGCAATGCTAGGAACATGCAKTGCTGCAGACCAGGACAGTCCTCTCTGGTGGAGCCACTGCTGTACAGWATTCTTCTGTGGTGAGGTTCAATAGCCTCATTGTTCCTCACATCTTTACAGTATTCTTCCAAGTAAAACAAATCCATGCATCTCTTACGGTACAATACTGAAYGTT